TGTCCTCTACACACAGACCTGTCCTCTACACACAGACCTGTCCTCCACAGAGACCTGTCCTCCACATACAGACCTGTCCTCCACACACAGACCTGTCCTCTACACAGACCTGTCCTACACAGAGACCTGCCCTCTACACACAGACCTGCCCTCTACACACAGACCTGCCCTCTACACACAGACCTGTCCTTTACACACAGACCTGTCTTCTACACACAGACCTGTCCTCTACACAGACCTGTCCTCTACACACAGACCTGTCCTCTACACAGACCTGTCCTCTACACAGACCTGCCCTCTACACAGAGAGCTCTGCTATAGACCACGGTGACAGACTTTTCGTTTCTTGTTTCACCAGGCCTAGCAGTGCTGCATGAAAATGGCTGGAGGACTGTCCTCACCAGACACTGAGGGCAGGGCTGCATGGTTCTCTGCAGTTGCCACAAAGGAGGCAAGAGGCTGGGTTCTTCTGCTAGAATCTCCCCAGCGCCTGGGTGGAGGGGAAGCAGAGTGGATATTGCTGGCAGTGAAGGGGATGTGGCCTGGGCAGGGAGAGCAGAGGGAAGGGGTCAGATTGCCTGCGAGTCACAGCTGGGCTGGATTCACAGCCTGGGCCTCCCCTGCTGACCTAGTGGCTAAAGTGAAAATGGCTATTCCTGGGGAGGTCATTTGCATGAGGTCAGACCCCTGCTGGGCCCACGTGGAGGGAAGTGGCTCAGTCTGCTGCCCCTGCAGCCTCACTTTCTGTTCCTTCTTAAGTTCTCAAGTTTACTGTAGACTCCACTAAAATTTCAAAGTAACTGAGGCAGAAGGGCAGTGGCGCTGCAGACCCTGAAGCCAACAAACCGAGGTCCTTCGGGAACATACTTGGGGCCAGAGGGAAGTCAGGTCTTTCCTTTTCAAGGCCCTGGCCTCAGCTCACCCCACTCCTGGATTGGACTGCAGGCTTGAGCCTCTCTCTTCCAGAGGGGGGAAAGTCAGCCAGCCCTCCTCAGTCAGCTGCCTGTCTTAACCTGTGTCATGAAGCCTGAGGAAATCTCAAGTAACCAGAATCTCACTTCTTTGGTTCTGGTTTTCCTTTGAGACGGGTTTTTATCATGTAGGCCTGGCTGGTCTTCAGCTCCCAGGATCCTCCAGCCTCAACCTCTCTCAGGTGTTGGGACTGCAGGCCTGAGTACCACGCTGGGTCCCCTCAGATCCTGGTTCCCTTCTAACCCTCCAGGATCTGACTGTCCTTCTCCCACTGTAAGACCTCAGGCCTCCAGGATCTTTTCCCAGGACCGAGGCCACCCCAATCACCATGCGGAGGCGGAAACTTGATGCAAACAGCAAGAGGCTTTAAGGAAAGGTGGACGTTTGTACAAATGGGCTCTCTCAGCAGGCAGGCTAGAGAGCAGCCCCGTCCCCCAGGCACGGGCGTTTTTAAAGGCAAAAACCATAAGCTTAGGGAGGGGCCTCAACTCTCTGTCCATTGAATACATGACCAGAGTCATGAGTTCCTAGGAGGCCCTTTGTCTTGAGGGGAGGCCTCCTGACCCACCAGTTGTAAAATCTGCAGACCTCAGGATGTGCTAACTAATGGTAGCTATCTCTTTGTTTCATAGGGACCCTTAATTGTTAATTATTGTCACACTGGCCGGTGGGGCAATCTGTTTCCTTCATGAGGCCCTTGGGGAGGGTGGCCATCTGGGAATTCTTGGTACCCAGTTATCTTATGGCCTTGTAAGGGAGTAATTGCTGGCGGCTGGTAAATTCCAGGCACTAAGTCATAGTAGTAGCCTTGGTCAGTTTCTGGGCTATATTTCTTTGTTAATTTTTAAGTCTTTCACCATGTACAGTCTGCTTTCTTGGAGGAAGTGTGTGGAGCTAGGTACGGCGCAGGGCTGCAGTCCCAGCCATTTGCGAGGCTGAGGCAGGACAGCCACTTGAACTCAGGCACCTGGACAAGAGAATGAGACCCGGCCAAAAAAAAAAAAAAAAAGCAATTTATCCGAATGTTATTTACTTATTTATTTATTTTGGTTTTTCAAGACAGGGTTTCTCTGTGGCTTTGGAGGCTGTCCTGTCCTGGAACCAGCTCTTGTAGACCAGGCTGGTCTCAAACTCACAGAGATCCACCCGCCTCTGCCTCCCGAGTGCTGTTATT